ATTGCTGCTGCTGCTGCTGCTGCTGCTGCTGCTGCTGCTGCAGCTGCTGCAGGTGTAGTTGGTGCTGCTGGTACGACGGCTATAGTTGCTGCTGCTGCTGCTGTTGCAGACACTGCTGCTGCTGCATGTTTGCTGGGCCTGGCTATGACGACTGCGAGATAAACAAATAAAATAAATAAATAAAATAAATAGATTTATAAAAATAAATAAAGATAAATAGGACAAAGGAGTCAGGAAGACAGACAAATTATTATTTATATCGGAAAATTTTAAAGGAGGCAAACTCCAGCGGACAAAACAAAATAGATCCATATGCTGCTGCTGCTGCTGCAGACACTGCTGCTGCTGCTGTAGAGTGTGCTGCTGCTGCTGCTGTAGAGTGTGCTGCTGCTGCTGCTGTAGAGTGTGCTGCTGCTGCTGTAGAGTGTGCTGCTGCTGCTGCTGTAGAGTGTGCTGCTGCTGCTGCCGCGGACAATAAATAGGGGTGCTGCTGCTGCAGAGAGCGCTTCTCCTGTTGCTGCGCGCATTCCTGCTAGTGCTGTTGCTGTTGCTGCTGCTGCTGCAGTTGCTGCTGCTGCTGCAGTTGGTGAGGCTTACGCCCTGTTGCTGCTCCGCATATTCGCATCTGTTTAATTATATTTATTGTATATTATTTTAATTAAAACAAATTATCCTGACTTTGTTTATTTTGCTGGACATCTCTCTTTATTTTATATTAATAATGCTCTTTAGTCTTATCCCTCTTATTCATATCTATTTATTTATTTATTTATTTATTTATTTATTTATTTATTTATTTATTTATTTATTTATTTATTTATAGCAGCTTCATTCTCCTCGCCGGATGCGTTCTTGCTGTAGTTTGTTGCTGTCACTCTTTGTCTCTCTCTTTCTCTCTCTTTATCTTTTTTATCTTTGTCTATCTCTTTATCTTTATCTCTCTTTATCTTTACCTCTCTTTGTCTATCTCTTTATCTTTGTTTATCTCTTTATCTTTGTTTATCTCTTTATCTTTGTTAATCTTTATCTCTCTTTGTCTATCTCTTTATCTTTGTTTATCTTTGTCTTTCTTCTGTCTTTCTTTGTCTGCATGCTTCTTCATCCCTCTTTATATCTCTCTCTTTATCATTATCTGCATTTATCTCTCTCTTTATCTTTATCTCTCTCTTTATCTTTATCTCTCTCTTTATCTTTATCTCTCTCTTTATCTCTCTCTTTATCTTTATCTCTCTCTTTATCTTTATCTCTCTCTTTATCTTTATCTTTATATCTTTATCTCTTTATCTCGTTATATCTTCATCTCTGTCTCTGTCTGTCTTTGTCTGTCTCTCTTTGTCTTCATCTCTTTATCTTTATCTTTATCTCTTTATCTCTTTATCTTTATATTTATCTTATTATTTTGCTTTTGTCTGTTTATCTCTCTGTCTCTCTTTATATTTATTTATATTTATTTATATTTATTTATCTTCACTTCTTTCTTTATCTTTATCTTCATCGTTATTTATTTATTTGTTTATATTTATATTTATATTTATATTTATATTTATTTATATTTATATTTATATTTATATTTATATTTATATTTATATCTCTGTCTCTCTTTATATATGTCTGGCATCTCTTTCTATTTACTTTTAATAAATAAATAAATAAATAAATAAATAAATAAATAAATAAATAAATAAATAAATAATTTATTTATTTATTTATTTAATTTATTTATTTATTTATTAAAGTTAATTATTTATTTGCTTCCTTCAGACTCCTGTAAGAGCAGCGCACATGTTCAGCACAGTCTGCTGCATTAAATAATCTGCTGCTCTTTTACTTGCTATACCTTTTTCACCTTCAGCATAATAGCTGCCTCCTTCAATATTATGTTTTGCTGTTGCTGCCAGCAGCAGCACTGTTGCTGCTCCTTGCTGCTGCTGCTTCAGCACCGTTCTTCTCAGCAGCAGCAGCACCAACCCCCACAAGATATTTTGCTGCTGCAGATATCGAGGGAGACTTGTATTAACCATACCTGGATGTAGACTCACAACTAAAGGCGTATCAGCAGCAGCACTCTTGCTGCTGCTGCTGCTGCTGCTGCTGCTGCTGCTGCTGCTGCTGCTGGAGGAGAGCTCCCGCTGCAGCGCAGCTGCTAGCCATGTCTCTGCTAATTTGCTGCTGCCGTAAGCAGCATTTCCATCGAATGTTTCCTTAGTCCAAGGCAATATACCCCTAATACTATCATTTGCTGCTGCTGCTGCTGCTGCTGCTGCTGCTGCTGCTTCCTCCTTTCCACTTCCAGCACTCCCAGCAGCAGCAGCAGCTGTAGCAGCAGCAGCAGCAGCAGCAACTCGGTAGGCTTTGCTGCTGCACATAGCTTGAAGAGGATGAAAGCTTGAAGGTGATAAGTGCTGTCCGAAAGAAGAAACAAAAATAACACGACCTGAAGCTGCCTGTACACTCCGCTGCAGCAACTTTGTCAGCAAGTAAGGCCCCACAACATGCGTCATAAACATCATTTCTACACCTTCTTCTGTTTCTCTGAGCTCTTGAGGAAGCATCACACCTGCATTATGCACTAGCACGTCTAGCCCCTTGCTGCTGCTGCTGCTGCTGCTGCTGCTGCTGCTGCTGCTGTATATGGATCTTCCTGGCTAATGCTCTTCCTGCTGCTTCATTGCGACAAAGCAGGGCTACACGTGCACCCCAAGCAGCAAGCTGCAGCACAACCTCTTCTCCTATTCCTGATGTGCACCCGGTAACAGCACATACCTTCCCTTTCATATGCTGCTGCTTCTGCTGCTGCTGCTGCTGCTGCAGCGGCTGCAGCAGCAGCAAGGCCTCAATGCAGCGGAAAAGAAAAGGGCGGTTGTCAAAAGGATACAGAGCAGCAGGTAAGCGGTAGCCCTCAGCAAGGCGTCTTACAGCCCATATCCATAGCAGCAAAGCTGCTGCTGCTGCTGCTGCTGCTGGGATGCTGCTGCAGCAGGCTGCGGCAGCAGCAGCAACAGTTGAGGGGTAATATAGCAGCAGCAACAAACCTACCACCCCTGTAAACAACACGAACAAACAACAACCTGTTATAGAATCATGAAGTATAGCCCTAAAAGCAGAGCCACATCTAAACGGATGATCAGTTGAAGCCATCTTGCTGCTGCTGCTGCTGCTGCTGTTGCTGCTGTTGCTGCTGCTGTTCCGGCGGAGCCTGTACGTTTTTGCTGCATCTCTTTATTCCCGAAGGTTTTTAAAGAAGATAATATAAAATAAAATAAAATGTCAAAAGCACATACACAAATACAGCAGCAACAGCAGCAGCAGCAGCAGGGACTGTTGCTGCTGCTGCTGCTGCTGCTGCTGCTGCTGCTGCTGCTGCTGCCTCCCGAGTCGGCTGCAGCAGATCTCAGTCAGCATCGAGGGAGGTAATGACGCCCCAGTCGACATAAAATAAAAAAATTAAATTAAATTTATTTTGTTTATATATTTAGAAGCAATTAAATAAAGAAAAATAAGAAAAACG